ATATAAAGAAAGGAACGCTGTGGTATCAATGTATAAAACCCATACAATATATAATACTTGAGAAGATACGCTTCCATAAACAAACAGGTGTCCACAGCGTCCCTTTCTGTAGGGTTTAGGGATGAAGTGTATGCCACCTCTGGATTTTTGTCGTGGTTTCTCAGACAGGGGGACCCCAATGTAGACCCGAATATGTCGGGACACCTAACATGAGCTATAGTCTAAACTCCTTAAAGGGTGTATATATAGGGGATTATATATGGGACTACTATAGGGGTTATTAGGGAGAATACTAGGAGTTTAGACAATGGCTCACATGGTACCCTTAAACCCCCGACCGTGGGCTTGCTTTGACAACTTTGGGATGTTGTCCTCAGGCCAACTCTTGCGTCCAAAACCAACGAAACACCAGGGTCCAAGGTTTAGGGTTTTAGGGTTTAGGGTTTAGGAACCCTATATAACCCCAGTTTCCATTTCATTTTCCATTTTCTTTTCCATTTGATTCTCCATTATTGGGGTACCAGGGTCCAAGGTTTAGGGTTTGAGAGTTGGAGAGATACAGCACCTTTTCTTTTGTAGTTTTTGGGCAATTATTGCCAAGAGGTCCGGTAAGAGTGCAGCCCGCAGCGTTGGCGAACGCATGTAAGGCATCCTTTGTTTGTCAACAACCCTAAGGGTCCAAGGACTCAAATGATAGGGTTTTAGGTCCCAAATACCAGAATATCAATGGTATTTGGGCCCTAAAGCCTTGTTATTTGGGTCCTTGGACCCTTAGGGTAACCCTGCCATGGACAGACACGAAGGTTACAGCAAAGGCCGCGCTGTAATTCAAACGGAACTGTATGTTCCACATGGAGTCAAGGGTTCAGGGTCATGGTCATGGATCTTTGAAGGAGCCCCGGATAGATGGCCTGTTTAGGTTTTGAGGTCAAGGGTCTGATTCCTGCACCTTATAAAGGGATGAAAGAGTTACATGCTGGCACCTGAAATTGCCAAGGCGTTGTAGATGTCCATGGTTTAATCTCTGTGAGTCTACGTTCAAAAAATTGCCGCACATGCAGCCGGCGTAGGTCCGGCCGCACAGGGTAGAGAACGCCATTATCTTGCATTGTCGCAGACATTGTTTCTTTCAAGTATGTGTGCGTGTAGGTTGCGGTAGAATATAGATGGTCATTGCTTCGGCTGCGTGAATGCAAAAAATGAGACCTGAACAAGTAATGGCTTCCAAGATTCGTTTTGAGGCGCATTCCCCCCCCCCCCTCCCGGCCCCCTTCCGCCCCGCCCCCTTGCCCCTCCCCCCCTCCCAGCCCCAGACCAGGAGCAGTGCTAGATGGTCTTATCTTGCCAATCCAGATGTGTCCACGACGACGTCGGCATACCCCATTACCTGTCCACTTGGCGCTGCTTTCAACAAGTCCCCCCCCCGTCCATCCCCCCTACCCCCTGTCTCCACGCCCCCCCGCCCCCTTCTTGGGCCGCTCCATTTTTAACCCCAATATCCAAAAGCCTCATTTAGGGGTACCTCTTCGGAGGTCTCAATAATAAGGATTGCAGCGTTTGGGTGTGTATCCTCGGGTAACCCTTATTTAGAGAAAATACCATATCTTGTATCATGTATTTTTGGAATGTCATGGGATTTGAAGAGGACCTGCCTGGAACGTGGCTTACGAGCTTGTTTCTTGTTGGGAGCTGGGCTTACGGCTTATGACCATTCCATAGGGTTTAGGGTTTAGGAGTAAAATGACCCTTAGGAGCTAGGTGCTTGGCCGCATGAACTTGTCAGTGCAGGCGGACAAGAAGGAATTCGAAAAGCAGAAGAAGGCTTTCCTCGATGCTGGTGGAGTCAAGGCTGCAAAGTTTGTATATCTCTACTACATACACCGTTATACTCCCTATATGACCTGATATATCCCCTATAACCCTTTCAAAGGATCCTAAACAATCACAACCGTTGTGGCTAGTCCAAGGTTGAAAAGTATATGCCCTTAATCTTGGGATCCCTTCGTTCCAAGAGGGTTTAGGGCTTAGGGTACATTATACAGAAAGGACGAGTATGTGATGCTTTGTAGACTTGTTGGGAGCTTCTTCTTTTACACGACGTTGCTGCAACATTTCCAACTTTTGCCAACCTCCATACCTACAGCATGAACTCCTTGCTGCAACATTTCCAACTTCTGCCAACCTGAGTACCTACAGCATGAACTCCTTCAAAATCAAGATTGAGTCATCTCAATACCTTTTTGCCATTTCAAATTCCCAGGAAGCATTAATTTGGAATTTTTAGATACGTGTACGTCTTGAAGCTTTTTCGCTTTACGGTGTTTATGTAACATACAACAACACTAGACTCGTGGTAGGCAACGCCTGAAGGCCACATAAATGCTACCTCACGTCAGAGAAAGGAAAGCTGACACACCTCTGATAAGATATGATCTCAACGACTGCATGAGCAGAACCATCATTACAAGCCAAAAAGAGTTTGTTGGTATTTCATGGGAGATGAGAGAACATTGCGTCGTTCTACTTAAAGAGGGAATTTTCCCCCGATGCTTGCGAAGACCTGAACTTCTCCACCGTTTCCAGACATGACAGAGTTGGTCTGCGTGTTGTTCAGAACGCGTTTTCCGCAGAACATGCTAGAGACTCCGTCCCTCATTCGTGTCATCTCAAACGAAACCAGAAGCGCGGGCAAACAACGGTTCGGAGTTTTGGTCCAAACACGCAAACATTGATTTGAATAACGTGAACCGCAGCATGCACACCGCAAGGGCTCGTGAGCCAAAGAGTAGCCAAGAATTTCGCCAAAATTTTCAGTGACCGCATGAAGAGCACATCAATTCGATCAAGCCGTGTTCAACATCACATGAAAGTCCAAAACAAATTAATTAAACCCCAAACCTAGTAAGCAACATTTCCTGCCCAGGAGTGATGCCGACGCGGCGAACTCGCGGGTCCTTCCTTGGAGCACATATAGGTTTATGTATGGTTTAGACTAGGGTGTGTTCACTTCATGCGGTGCTCGCTGGTGTGTGGGCACGCCCATGCTGCTCGCACCGGTGCGTAGCAGTCAACCCACCCCCTGACCACCCTGAGTTAAAAGAATCGAGGTTCAGTTCCTGAAGTGTTATAGGCATCCCAGCGGTGGCCAAGGCAGCGCTGATGAGCACCGCACTTCAAGGAGGGTCCGGGCATGACGTAGCGCCCGCGGGGCCCGCAATTCAATTGGGGACCGGGCATGGCATCAAGTGCTTGGAGGCTCTAGCTTTCCGGGAGGCTGTTACGTCGGAAACATCGAAAGGTTGACATCCAAGGCCTTGCCAGAATTGTCAACAGTCGCGATGCGATGCAGGGTGCTCATCATTGCCTATAGAGGTTGGCACCGTTGGGTTGCTCTGAGGCCCAATGACGCTCCTGATTGGTGGCTCTGGCAGCGTTCATCGGTTACTTGCGCGGCGGCTTTGGTCAGCGTTCGTACTTGCTTGATCCCAAGGCTGCTTGGGACAGTTGTGCTCCCGACTTAGATGGGCCAGTGCTCGAAAAACTTGGATTTGGTGGTGCAGCTGCCCGACAAAAGCCTAAATTTGGCAATTTGGGAACCATCAAATTCAAAGCTCACATTTGTTCTGCGAGCGAAGCAAAACTCAGGATTTGGTTTGAAGGGAGAGGTAGGAGGGGTCCGACATGGTTCTGATTTGGTCTATACTTGGCAGGAGCGGGTTGACAAAGCCGGGTTTTGTCGGAGAGGGGTCCGCCGGGGGCTACGTTGTGACTGCTTTTGCGTCTGCGCTCCATGCTGGCTTCCTTAGATTACCGGCTGTCTGTGAGGTTGTTGTGCAGGGGAATCTCCGTGACCTGGGCACAGCTAGGCTTGAGGTTGGCCTTCTGACGTCGCTGGGTTTGTGGCCTTCTGTGAGGCTGTTGGCAAAAAAACAGGTTTAAGCTAGGAGTTTATAGGGGCTCTACCTTTATGATCCTTTGTAGCTCCGTGGGTCCGCGGAAGGGCTCCGGCTGGACTTCATACGTGGCGCCAGTCCCCCAATCTTTCGTTGCCTTCAGCTACGACTATAAGTTACAGGGCGTACGGCTTAAGGCTCAGGACCTTGTTCTCATCCCTTCCTACTCACATCAAACACAACCCCCAAACCTTGTATTTGATATGTCCTTCAATATCTGTGGTCCCTTATGGGGAACATTTAATATTCGTGGTCGCAGGTTTTCAATATGAGTAGGAAGGGATGATAAGGGTTCAGGAGGTTGAGGACCACCGGGTTGAGGTCAGGGGTTTAGGGGTTGGGAGTTTCAACGGTTTCCAGGTCGATCATGACTTAATTCGGGAGATTTCATGAGTCCCTGTGCCAAGCTCCTCAATCTGAAAGAATAGGTTAACAAATGCCAAAACCTAGTCCCAAATCCTATCTTTGCTTTGTTGTTGGGTTTTTTGGTGTATAGGGACGGAATGTCCGGGGGAGCAGTAGTGTGTGAGGGCTGCACGATTTCGAGGCTTTTCTGATGCATGAGAGAACTTTTGCTTTTTTTTAAGGACTTGATGCTTGCGGTGTGGGGGTTGGGGAGCAGAAGCGCATGTGCTCATTTCAGTTCTGAGACCCTTATAGAATAAATCTTCATATACAACACCCAATATGAGCGGGGAATTGGACGGTTTAAAGCAACCTTGAACCCCAGTTTAGGGCTTTTCAACTTCAAACGCTCGAAACAATCCTTTCAGCTAATCAAACCTCCGGCGAAGTCTGCTGTTGAAACCTCACCACAGGGCCTGCTCAAAGATGGGCCCAAAAGTCGGATCAAAAATGAAGGTCACGATACATATATACATATATTCGTACAGAATCCGTATATGACACCTGTCAAGCCCTGAACCTCAAGCCGTAAAGCCTAAAGACTTCCATACAAATACCCCATATAGTCCCTACTTGGTTGAAGGTCAACGCGCACCGGGAAAGCCAAGAAGGACAACCAAGCTCCTAGTGCTTATAGGGGTTACGTTTCAAGGGGTCCAGGGCCAAGGTATGACGATTTTACCCCTCACGTGACATGGCGGTTTATGTACAATGCTTCCAAGGTTGTTCGACTTCAGGAAAAATCCTTTGTTGAAGGTTTCTACCCTGCACGTATCCGCATGCCAAAATAATAAGCCCCATTCCTCCAACAGTCATTTCCTCCCAACTAGTACCCTATTGGAAAAATGTTTAATGAGGCTTGGGGGCTTCATTATTGAGGGGGATGGCAGGCTTCCCAACCCTAATCTCTAAGCCGGCCGGGCATGGGATGCTGTCACACTGGAGCTGCAGCAGCATAGAATTTCAGGTCGGAGTAGAGCTGAAGGTGTTAAGGCTTCGGGTTCAGGGTTCAAAGGGTTATGGCGTAGTGCGTATGTATCTGGTGTCTCTGTGGGGATAGCATCTAAAATGTATAACTCTACCGCCGTATTCAGTGTCCACAAGGCTCAACTCCGCCTTCCTTTTTCTATGTATCAACATGGTCTATCACCTTGCACATTGTCAGTTCTCGAGTAGGTCGATAATACTCTAGTTTTAGATATTTCGGTCCACAATACATAGTAAGACTATACGTTCTTGTTATAAGACAGTGCAATCTTACTTGGTTCAACACCCAAAGAATGGATCCAGAACTTGGTTTTGTATTCTCCAAGCAGAGTACTGTAGGGGTTCTAGAGTTACGCTAAAGCACAGATAGTCCTGCCGGGGTCTTGGAAAATCGCCATTCTCCCTTCTTTCTCCTGTCTTGTGTCCCGTCATGGTCTCCTCTTGTCTCTTCCGGTAGTTTGTTAACCGAATGATGCGCCCCCCTTGTCTCCCAACTCGTCTCCCATTCTCCTCCTGTCTTCCTTTTTGTAGCTTGAGAACCAAATGTATGCCGTCATTTCCGCCTGTCACCCCTCGTGTCTGCTATAACTGTCTTCTTTTGTGCTTCTCCGTAGCTTGGGAACCGGATGGTGTCGGCGGTCTCCCCTTGTCTCTTGTGTGGTCTGTCTTGTCCCTCGACGGTGCCAATGACATACCTCTTCGGATGTTTGAGGTGCTGCTGGTGTCACATGGAAGTTCGCTAGACCTAGTAACTACTTGTGACCGTGCTTACAAGCTTACCTATAACCGCGCTCATTAGATTGACGTAGGTTGCCCCACTTAGAGGTAGGAGTATAACCCCAGTTGCAAACAGTTATTAAGTCCCATGGGCTTCCAAGTATTTGGGGCAAACCATTTTGGAACCCGCCATATTTCCAGGGTTCCCTACTGCCCCCTTATGTCCTTGGGGTACTATAGGAGGAGGCTAGTAGGGGAACCCATGAATAAGCCCCCAAGCCCCAAACATCCAGCACTACATCCTAGCTCCAGGATCCAAACATGCCAAAGAGGCCAAAAAGCGCCTACATTCTTTGGGCTCCGCGCCAAGATGCTGTGCAGCTTATGTTGAAGGGCTCAGTGTGAAGTGTAGAGAGTACAATGTTCATGTTAACGGTTTGGGTATGTACCCAACTTTTTGGAATCCCGCAAAATGGAACCACAACTTGGGCACACGATCCTCTAAGGGTCCCTGTAAGGGGTTCGGCTAGTTTCGCATGTATCCCACGAACCCGCAATCGTTTGGCCAAAGTACCCGCGTTGTTGACAAGCCAATGTTCTATGAGGTGATGTCGGATTGCCTGGGGTAATACCCACGTGTTGACGTCCTTTTATGTGGAAGCAGTGGCTTCATGTGACGTAGTACTTCCCTGCCTGCCAGCATTTTTGGAAGAGCCTTGGCGTCCAACTTTCGAGGCATCTCATTTGGAAGCGGCAACCGTGGCAAGCACAGTGGATTCGTGTTAGTTGCAGACGCGTAAAGCTGCCAGCCCAGTCTCCCCCAGAGTCTTTGTGAATATTGCTTCGGCCGTACATGGAGATGCGGATGTGGTTATGCATGGAAGTTAAAATTTCTGAGCCAGCATGGATGCCGTGATGGCATGTGTTGCCAGCGTGGATGTTCGTGAAAGTGGCCGAATCTGGATAAGCATTGCATCGTACATGAAATAACATCAACCTGCACGCGCACTCGAAATCAAAATGACCGCCGCGGCGTCAGCAATCACACATCAGCACTGTCAACTTTATGTATACCTGGGTCAGCATAGATGCTCCCATGTTCCGGTTCTGTCGTACACGGAGACTTCCACCCGGGCTAGAATGATACTGGCAAATTCGGATGAAATTGTACATGAACGTTATGCGCCGGCCCGGCTTGGATGTTCGCATGCCCGGCGATCCGGCAGCAGTCGTACATGGGTGGTATTCTGTCAGCCAAAACCCAGCCACCAAGACCTTTGACCGCACCCTCGCAGGAAAGAAGCAAGCACACAGCTTCCTTCTACACCCCTCGCGCCGAGCAAGGCGGCGTGTATGTAGGAGCACGGCAGAAGCAGAAGCATGAGCAGCGGCATCACAGTGTGAAACCTTTCAGGGCCTTCTTCGCGGTAAGGAGATTGCATGCAGAAGCATGACAGCTTCCGTTGTGGAATTCCAGGCGCTTCTGTGTGGCAAGAGCTTCTTAACGCCACGGATGTGCTAATCACAGCTGGTAGCAGCAACAAGTTGGGTACTTATTATGTGGTTATGTACCTTACGTTGGGGCGGGGCCCTTCGCACAGTGAGGGCAAAAGTGCGTTCAAGTTGCGACGTGCTTGTCGAGTGCCTTAGCCAATGGTTCTTAATCAGGCAGAGAAAATTCAGAAATTGACCCTACACCCTAAACCTTAGGCTGGCAAGATGGGGAGGATGGGGGTTGGAGCGGGTGGGAAGGGAGCGAGGGAGTTTCATGGCAGCGGCTGTATCCAGGTCTTTACCCCACGACCTGGGGGTCATCGTGCTTCTTCATTTATCGTTTTCCGTCATTTCTCATTATCTTTAGATTTTCATACTTGCCATGTTCATGATATTCCATCGTTTTCATCATTTTTGATTGTTTCCGCAACATTTCATTATTTGCATGATCTCTCGTGTTTTCATCTTGCTTCATGACTTTCATCATATAGCTCATCATGTTTCATCATTTATCACAGTTTGTCGTTACTTGCACGTTTTCTCATGATATTCATCATGCTTCTGATTCATCATCCTTTTGTTGTTTATCATACTTAATACCTTTCATGTTTCATGAGTCTTCATTGGCTTCATGATATTTAGTCGTTCTTCATTCTTTTTCATGATTTCTCATAATGTTCATCATTATATCGTTTGTCATGATTTGTCATCATTTGCTGTTGCCCTTTTTTCTAGACGTCAACGAAAGAAGTGTGTGCTGATGCTTGCCTTTGTTCTGGCCCCTACGAAACTTGGTACAAACGTTTTTTGATGCTTGAATAGTTGTTTTCGACGCGCTGTGCGTATGTTCTCACGGTCTAATAAACACCCAGATAAAACCATTAAACCCTTAAACCCTAAACCCTTGCACCCTTAAACCC